GTGGAATTTTCTTCCTGCAGATCTGCACGGAACACAGTCTTCTGAGCAACATCTTTGGACTCCCGAGCTGGAATAAGATGTTTTATGTAGATTAATGCTCGTGCCACTATCGACTGTTAGAAGATGACCCTCTGTGGACGTGACAAATTCCGTATGCTAATGCTCAAGATGATGCTTAGTGCAAACGGCTCGATGAACAACCGCCACGTCCCAATCAAAAGTAATCTGCATCTGCAACCGCACAGCAAACAACAAGATAAGCCAAATCCAGGTGAATTAAGAGCCATATTATTGGACACGACTGAATACCGGTTAAATTTTAAAATTTTCGTGGTCTTTAACCTGGAAACAATGCAACTTCGGAGACTAGAGGAAAAGAGGCGCGCTATTCCACATAGGAAACTGCCATAGAAGCTCCCAGTGACATGCTACGATAGCAAAGTACTAGTTCAGTAGTAGGTTAAGACAATTTGCAATATATTCTTCTCGAATTACAGACTAATCGGACTGATACCATAAAAGGCTGTAGCTCCAAAAATCTGCATCTTTCCTCTGCTAAGGCCTATTGTGGCAGGAGCTTACAGATTTACGAAAGGACTGACTGACTTGGAAAGTTATCCAGGATGAGACGAATAATTTCTTCGCGGCGATGCTTACCGGATAAAGCGCCGCTTGTGTCTGCTGATGAGTCACAAAACCCGCCAGATTTTACAAATGGTAATGAAAAAGAAAGTACGACCACAAATTCCATCTAATTGCGCTTATTGTCAAGGACTGGTTCTATAAGGATACAAGGACGGAAAATTGTGTGATGTATGCCGAATTTAGATGACCATCGATCTATGGGGTTTACAACCTAAGTCATAAATTTGCTAATCGAATTTCTTTAGCTAGCAACATCATGACTGATTTACAAAGTTCAAAACATTATGCAATCTTTCTCACGTACCCACAATTAAACCTACAGCTGTATTGGGATCCAAAAACGCGCAGGATGCTAATGCTCCTACTGTATCATTCACCAACACTCGACAATTAACTTGCAGGTCCTGGAACGATTAATCATGAAATGGGGACAAACCAGTTTTCTCATCGCCTCGTTGAGAAGTTGAACAATGTCTTTGCCGATGGCATCTGGAACATCAAAACCTTTTGTCCATCGAATAAGTGTTCCACTGCTCAAACTTGTTTGCTGCACCGGAAATGAAAACGTGAACCCCAAGTCTATTGGTGTGTCCAACAATCCACGACTCTGCAAGAATTTTTTAACTGTCCCTGCTATAAATCCAAACAACTACATTTTGGAATTTGTAGTAACGTGGCTTACGTCATCCGACCTTCCCTGTTGAAGTTCTTGGGCAATGACATACATTTCTTCCTCTATTTTTGGTGGAGTTTGTGGGGCCTCAAATGTCACCAATAAAAGTCGATAATTTGTTCCACCCAGATCAAGAGCGAGGTACTTTCCCGTTTCTTATAATAAAGAAGAACATTCAAAATTACCATTTCCAAGTGGAAGAGCTGTTGTAAAAGTATTTATCATTCTTAAATCGTTGCTCGGGTCGTCTGGAGTATTTAAGCCTTTGATCATTTCAGCGTTTAACCTGTGCATGAGAAGCTCACAGTTGTCGATGCTCAACCAGAACGGTCGACAGAGTTCATGCATCTGAGGCCATATTATCGAATATTCACTTACCCTCCTCATGCTTGGGGTATCTGTTTCAAGCGTGCTCGATTGCGGCGTTACATTCAATATGTCAAAACTTTAAAGACTTGAATGTAAGTAACTGCTTACTTTCTTAAAGAGGGAACAGATCTAAGGAGAAAATAAAGTAGAATAAATACCCTACATTCTTTCCATTTCGAATATTATTTATCCCTCACGAGAACAAAAAGTTGCTTCGAACTGCGCAACTTGGAATACCAATACTTACTATTCACACAAACAAACAATATTACTAATAGTGCTGGCAATCCACCGTTTCCACTAATTTGATTTTATCTTGGAAAGAAACGTGCACTACGCCACAACGAATTGTGCTAAGTAGCCCTAATATCGGTTTTCAGAAGGGTGTTCGACAGCACTGGCAAACCTTTGGCATTTTGCCGAAGTTAAATAAGAAGAATACAACTTCTCAGTGGACCCACTATTAACTTTGTAAAAAAAACGGAAATTCTCATTCAAGCAAAGCTGCACATTTCCTTTTATGGCTGGGCGAAATGGCGATAGTGAACAAATTTACGAAAAACCAGTCACTAATACGAGAGAATTTAGGACATATTGGTATGTTGTGGTAAAGGATGAGGAAAAACTACAGTTAGTGAAATTCAAGCACAGACATTTCAAAAACCAACTAGCTATACTGGAGTGCCAACAATCACAATCATTTTCTTTAAGATACGTCCGATTACATAGTTATCGAACAGACATCAATTCCCTAAAATAAAAATTTGTACGAACTCTACGATTTTTTCCCTACCATATTCTATACCTCAAGAACGATCATCTTTTTGCTGGCCCCGCAACCATCGCTGCATGTTCACAGCTTAGGTGTAAGTTCATCCACCGCAAGCGATGATGTCCACCATTTGCCTGAGAGCAGGGGCGGTGACTGCGGTCAGGTATAATGAAAGTAGGCGCTCCGCCACCTTCCCCACTCTAAACCCTCGCCTCGCTTTATTTCTAATACTACAAAGCCGAGATGACCGATCAGTAATCGGGCATAAACCGCTTTCTCCAGATGCAGCCAGACACACCGCTTACCTAACTTAGGCTTAAGTGACAGTAGCCTTTTGTGCTGATACTACTGCACTATTTACCCTCACTTAGCCATCGTAGATGCCCGGAATGATCCGAGGAGCTCGAGTCTCACATTTCTACTACTGCAACGGCTGTTTAAATTGCTACTTTTAGCGGTGTATCTGAGAGATTGTACTGCTGGTACGATTACTGATGCTTATATTTAGTCAGAAATGATACTTATTGGAGTCCGGTTTGGGCCCGTGTTCCCTTCATCCCACACAGGAGTGGTGACCTGGATTTTCGCTACTTTCAGTAGAGTAGATGTTTGAAGCTTGGAGCATATCATTGCTTGCCTCAGTTGTCTCCTGACGTTTAAACTACTAGGGCAACGATACCACTGTTAGACGTGCTATGCCTAACCTAGGAGCGCTAGTTCTAGTAACTATACCTGCTAAAACCAGTAGGTGGTAAGTTACAATGAGGCATGTTCGTAATTGTAAGAAATTTTAACCTAGTATACGGTCGTAATCTATATGAAGATTTTAGTGGGTTGAAGGGTTGGAGAAACGTGTATTTAATTATAGTTGAAGATCTACCATATATTTAGGTCGTAACAAAGTGGCATGTGCCACTTTTCCAGGCTACCTAGACCTAGTTCAGATTTTCCAGACCATCATCTTTCTAAGTAGGCGCGCTACAAATACAGAACTAAGGGACAACTGTATGAC